TTAGTCTGCTTTACCTTGATATTATTCTCAGTGCATAGCTACTTTGCTTCTATTTCCACTACCTTATTCTCTATAATGGCTAACTATTTTCGAAGCTTGGCAATCAACTCTCACTGGGTTTCTTCTAAGGCTATATAAGTACACGCCCTCTTGTCGGAACTAGGGCTCCTGTCCGACTCCGAGTCTATCTCACGTTTAACGCGTCCGTTACCCCTCAAACTCTGATCACAATGGATTTCATTCTCATGTGCATTTTTTTCGCGTGCTTATAGCCTGCAAGGCTGTGCACTTCAGCCCGTCACATCAAGGTGACATGATTCGAACCTATGGCCCTCTGTACCCAAAACAGATGCGCTGACCATACTGCACTACACCTCGGTCTCTCACCACCCCCGAGCATTTAGATCCGCCCAGAATCGATGAATACTCAAACCGAATTCGCCCATCCTTTTGGGCACAGGGATGCGAGAGCCAATCCGAGTAATCAACCGCCATTTTTTTAGTCTGCCTCTAGCAACATAGGACGGTGCCAAAAAGCCGTATAGTATTGGAGCGCTCCAGTTTTTTGGTTTAGAGTGTCTTGGGTTGGGCCAGGAGGGTCTTTTAACACTTTCTTTTTCTTCTCATCGAAGTTATTTTACAAAGACTTGTCACGGTAAGTAAGAAGGGGGAACAAGCACACTTAGAGAGTGCAGTACAATGGAAAGTTGTATGTTGCATTTGGGAAGGATGAATTGCTCCGGAAAAGGAATCTGTTGATTCTCTCCCAATTGTTTGGACCGTAGGTGCGATGATTTACTTCACTGCCAAGTCTCTGGTTCAAGTCCAGAATGTCCTAGCTACGGCAAGGAAAAGAATAGAGGAAGCATCTGACTATTTCATGCATGCTTCACTCGGCCCAGGGGATATAGCTCAGTTGGTAGAGCTCCACTTTTGCGATTGGGTCGTTGCAATTACGGGTTGGTTGTCTAATTGTCCAAGCGGTAATGATAGTATCTTGTACCTGAACTGGTGGCTCACTTTTTCTAAGTAATGGGAAAGAGGACTGAAACATGCCACTGAAAGACTCTACTGAGATAAAGAGAGGTTGTCAAGAACGAAGAGGAGGTGAATGGGCAGTTGGTCAGATCTTGTATGGATTGTACGTGGGCGGTAGTTGGATCCATAGTTTGCAAACTCTCGATCCTGGATCGTAGGATCGGACGATTCTACGATCATAGGTACCTAAATAGATCCTGGATCGATCAAACTCGAATTTCGCAGTGGGATTGGAGTAGGATCGGTCAGGATCGGTTAGAATCATACAGGATCAGTCAGGATCGTAGAATCGGTCCGAGTTTACTATTTATCAATTACAAAAAAAATTAATTGAGCTTATTGAGATTTTTCTTTTCTCTTACTTCTTTTGGTTCACATTAAATTGAGGCCAATATTCTTTGAGAAAATTTTTATTGCTAAAAAAAATATATTTTAGAAAGTTATTCTAATAAAATAAAAAGAAGTATAAGAGAAAAGTTTTCCTTAAAAAGTTATGAAAAAATTCATATAAGAAAATTGAATTTACACAATTCTTTTTGTTTAGCTGTTAAATACTTTATATAAAAATACTTAAAACCTAATTATCAAAGAAATTAATTATATAATATGTATAATTAATTTTACGATCCTACTATTCCGATCCTACCAATTATGTTTATGATCCGATCTTATGACCCCATTTCGATCCTACATGGGATCACGATCCTGCAAAATTGGTTGGAGCTGGCGGCTATCCCAGGATTCCCTCATCCCAGATCCCTGGGAAAGAGGATCAAGTTGGCCCTTACGAACAGCTTGATGCACTATCTCTCTTCAACCCTTTGATCGAAATGTGGCAAAAAGGAAGGAAAATCCTTGGACCGACCCCATCATCTCCACCCTATTAGGTTCTGTTTGTAATACTTTTTTAGAGTGCATTTTTGTGTTAGAAATACAAAAATTATTTTGGGAAGGGAAACATATTGATAAAAGACTGTGAAAGAACTGATAAAAAAGACCCAAATAAAAGCTTATTTTCTTCGTATGAACTGATAAAAGATTGATCCACTCACAGTTTCTCTTTATCAAATTGGCTAGGATAGTAATTGTTTTTTTTTACTTAGATAATATATGCAACAGGCATTTTGGTGATTAAGTTTTTTGATATCTTAATTGGATGATAAATTTGCTTATAGTCCAACCCAATCATGAGTTTGTTGTATTGTAGTTTCTCTACACATTTGTATGGTAGGAGGATAAGTTTGTGCTTTAAAGTATTTCAAAATAAGATATCTTAATTTACATTGGAACTATGAAAATAGATGTGTGTATTCGGCCTTGCCTTAAGGTGCATAGAAGAGACGGTGTAGTTACAGGCCTCATTTTGAACCACATCTTTGTATTATTGTATGCTTGTCCTCATTCTGGTAATGCTTGGGTGGCGGTTTTGTTTATGGCTAAGTGCCCAAACGGGTGCTTCATGCTTGACTAATGGGAGAGTTTTGCCTCCTACTATTTTGTTCATCTTTTTGCGTACTGGGATCATACAAATGTTTTCTTCCAAATCTTATGTATAGTTCCGATATTTATTACTCTCTTTATTCCTAAATGATTGTCCACTTAAAATTTTCATTTTTAGCATAATTTGTACTAAAAGTGAAATTTCAAACTAGACAATAATTTCTGGACGATAATTTAGGAGTTTCCCAGCTTGATGACATATAAAGTCTCCAGTCCTCAATTCCTTCTTGTATTATATGAAGACTATTTCTTTAGTTCTTTTTCTGATTTCTTGAATTATGTACAGTGCGAAAGATCCTGCCTACATTGACGATGAATATAGCTATCTGCTTTCCGTTCCAGGTCAATGTTTTCCTTTTACGCCATCACCTCTTTTTCTTTTTTATCCCGCTTCTCTCCCAAATTGCTAACAATTTATAACAATGCAGCTTTTTATGGAAATTCATATTTCCTTTGATGAAACTACATGAAATTTTGCAGAGGAGAAGCTTTAAAATTGAGCATATCTATGAAGAAACAAAAATCGTTGCAGACAATTTGGCTAAATTAGAATCTCAAGGTAACTCTCAAAGTTTTATTGTTTTTCCTAATCTTCCTTTTGTAACAAAAGGTCTTCTGATTTTTTACCAAAGATCCTTTCCGTATATTTTTAGTCGTCTAGATTAGACATTTTCTGTATTCTTTGGGTAAGTTAATGCGCTGCCCTTTTTTTCTTAATGAGGAAATAATATCTGGGGGAATGCCCGTCAAGTACTGTCTGGGTTGTTAAAAAAAAGACTAAAAATAAATTTTATTTTAAAAATAAAATTTAATATTCAATATATGTTTTATTTTGTAGATCTCAAGAATTTAATATGATATAACTTTCACAATATAATTCATTTTATAGGTTTAATCGTACTAAATATGTATTTAGAGCAAATAAAAAAATATAGTGCAACAAAGATAGTGTAATCGACAATTTACATCAAATTTGGTGTATATAATACTATTAATTATATCAAAATTATAAGTTAATTAATTTAGTGTCTTCGTTGAAGTACAAATTTATACAGATACACTAAATTTAATATTTTGGTATCTTTGTTAAAAAATACTTTTAAATTCAACATCAATCATCATCATTTCATGAGATTAACATTAAACAACGATGTTGAAGTGTAGTCTGAACTAACTCCCTTTTGTCAATTGTAGTTGGACTTCTCAACAATTGTAATAAATTTGCTTTCCCCTTTTTTTTTTTAAAAAAAAAGCCCATAATTCTCGATTTGTGCTTGTCATCCCTACACAGGGAACATGCTAATCTTCTCTGTATCGTTCCAATTTTATCGTAAGTCTCCGAAGGAACAAAAAAAAAGCCCATAAAAATCAAAATCACAATGCAAAACGTTTTGAGTAAATCTTCAAATGTAACCTTCCATGTTCACATATATATATTGCGCCAATATTCGGAAATATCTCATACACAACATTTTATGTGTCACTTTCCTTACCGATATACATTAATCAAAGCCCTTTTTTGGTGTTCCTAGTTTCGTTACCGATCTATATTAATCATGATAATGATAGATAGAGGGAAAAATTACAAAGAAAACTTATAAAGAATGATTTGTAAATTATCTAAACTAGGCACTAACCTTAAATATTTAAACCCCAAATGGACCGGATTAACAATTGCTTGTCATTTTCTTTTATCATTTTTTCATTCATTAATCATAACCTTAACATCATCGCCGTTGACATTATTTAAAATTAAAACCAGCCTACATAAGATAACTCTTTAAATCTCCATGTACAATTATATTTTCCTAACAACCAATATATAGCAATGAGGAGGATAAAAAATGGCCTCTTCAAAAGGAAAAAAAAATTATAATGTGATAATCTTAATGTAAACTGCAAAAATTTTAGATAAAAAGTATGGATGACATAGTTATCTAATTCCATGTATTTATATCTTTTCAGGAATTGAATAACAGTCTAGTGTTTAGGATACATGTTTCCTGGAAGTAGAGCCGGGTTCAACTCTCACCAAGGGGTATGTGAGGGTGGTTTTATCCATATTCAAGTGGATTTCACACAAGGGTGGATTATTTTATTTTTTATTTTTCAAAAAATTGATTGTATTTCCATCTTCCCCCTAAGTGTTTGTCATATCGAAATTAGACTAATTTGTGAAAGTAGGGGTTTTGTCTAAATATGGAAATGATGGCGTTTCCAGAGAAAGTTGTGATTGTTTTTCCGTCATTCTCCGCTGTGTAATATTGCAAAATACTTTCCTTTCTGAAAAAAAAGCACTAGTCTGACCTAGTATATGATAAGAGTAAAGAAGGAGATCATATCTTCTTTCCTTTCCTCCTTGATATATATTGCTTAGCAACAAGAGTATAAATAAACCTAAGGACCGAGAAGACAAACTTTGCCGAAGAAAGAGCAATAGAAAGAAGAAGAGACATAAGGCCATGTCCGCAGATGACGGAAACCCTAGTGATCTTCCCAATGGATCCAGGAAGAGGAAGGCCAAGGACAGAGACGAAGCTGAAGGTTTGCGGAAACAGAAGCGCGTGTGGGTCAAGAAGAGGTCGAAAACTTGGTGGGAACAACGAAACGGTCCGGATTTCCCCGAAGACGAGTTCAAGAAGGAGTTTCGAATGGGGAAGGCTACTTTCGACATGATCTGCAATGAGCTGACGACTTCGATCGAGAAGAACGACAAACGACGGAAGGATGCCGTCCCGGTGAGGAAGCGAGTGGCTGTTTGCATTTGGAGATTGGCCACCGGGGAGAAACTCAAAGATGTCGCCGAGAAGTTTGGGTTGGGGACGTCAACTATCCATAAGATAATACGTGAGGTTTGTGAAGCCCTAGAGACAGTGTTGAAAGATAAGTATCTGAAATGGCCGGAAGTAGAATCTGCCAAGATGATTCAGGATGGATATGAATCTTTATCAGGGATCCCTAAGCTTATCGGATCAATGTATACTACCGATATTCCGATCATTGCGCCCACAAAGGATCCTTCTAAGTATCGTCACGAAAACGAGATGACTTGTTATTCAGTTAGGGTTCAGGGCGTTGTTAATCATAAAGGGGTGTTTACCGACGTATTCATTGGTTCCCCGGGTTTGATGTCCGACGATCAGGTCCTGAAAGAATCGGTCCAGAAAGAATCGGATCTCGCCGAGACGGTTAAAGGATTGAGAGGTGTTTTGATCGGTGCGGGTTGTGGATACACTTTGTCGGATGGGGTTGTGGTTCCTTACGCAAAGCCAAAGCGGTGGACTCATAGTGATTTTAATATGAGACTTGGGAAAGTCGAAAAGGTTTCGAAAGATGCGTTTGCTAGGTTAAAAGGGAGATGGTGTTGTTTGGAAAGGTTGGATGTGAAAGTAATTAAGGACGTGCCGAATATCATCATACTTGCATGCTGCATTTTGCATAATATTTGTGAGTTGATGAATGAAGAAATGGATACAACAAAGTGCGAGTTTGATGATCTCTATGATGATCGGATCGCGGAGCCGGTGAAGCCAATAGGGTCATCAACCGCTAAGGAAGCAAGGGATTCTTTGGCAGACTATCTTTTCCACTTCGTAAAGGGTCCTGCTTGCAAATTAGAAGGAAATTTGAATACCGCTTGATTTATCGTTTGATATTGGAATTATTTATTTTTCATATTTATGTTATGGCATTTGATATTTGTGCTGAAAGTGATTTTATTTGATCGAGATACTAGAAGTTTGCAGCCTGGAAATGATAGAGTTTAGTTATTTTACCAAAAACATTTGCGTCCTTTAAAGTCGCTTAATTTGTTGTAATGATTTTCCCTCCATCAACTGTTGTTTGCTTATTTTCGATATCTTTTGGATTTTGTCAATCTTGCGACATCTGAAAATAGTGTCAGTTGATGAAATTCAGAAGTGGTTTTAAAACTAATTATTATACCTAGCTAGCTTGACAGTATCTTAATTGGTGCACAACTTATGATTAATTTTAACCTCCGGTAGGATTACTTTCTATTGCTAGCTGTTGTTACTTCCCCTCTCCTGGAGAGGCTTTTCCTTGGTTATTTTGAGCTGGCGTGGAGTTTCTGGTGGTGGTAAAGTCTTTGCAAATCATGATCATTATTAATTGCTTATCTGTGCATTAATTACCATCTTCAAATATCATTTTTGTTCTCCATTTAAGAGTAAGGGTGTGGAAAAAATGAGCATAAATCCCTCCTTTGGACTACACAATTAGTTGCCGGAATACAGTTGCATTGTATTTCTTTGGGTTAGAGTCCTGCGTGACGACGGAAAAAAAAAAGGAAACAGATCAAAACTTCTTCTAATTTTTATTCTTTTTGGTTTTGAAAAGAAACAACAAGGGTTTGGATCAGTTTCTTCTTGGTGATGTTGATGATTCTGCTTTGCGGTGGTGACCGGAAAAATATTAAAGAAAAAACGAAAAGGATTAAAGTTTGTTCTATTAATCTCTAAATTTTTTTCGGTTGTAAAAACAAAAAAAAAAAAAGGAAAATGATGTAGAATGCGAATTAGATAGACATGTAAGTAGAGATGAAAGTAGAGTTAAATTTGTGGAGTTGAATATCATTGCTTTTTCTTTTATATGTCGCCCCTCTCCCCCTCTCCCAATTTTATTTTTATTATTAAAGGAGACTTATTTTTTCAATTTAAAATTTCAAAATTAAAATTTTATCGCCTCTAAATAAAAAATAAGCCATTTTGTCCAGCATTCTATAATTTCTGGCCTTGCCACTGTACGCTTTAACGTACAAGTCCTTAAAGCCTATTGTGCAGATAGAAACATTTGATCTCGGCAAAAGCCTTGAACATCTGACTGTTTAACGTTCTGGTGGTCTACTTTTTATTCTGTTTTATGAAACGCACCGGTTAGTGAATATATGATTGCTTCTAGGCTTCTACCTTCTCGTTTTTCTTACATTGATCCTAAACTTTGACTCTAATTAAATGTGAAAGTCAGACGTTAGATTAATTATTGCACTTGCATTGTGTTAAAAAAATATGTACAATAGAACTTCTACAAATTAATAATTTTAGGACCACCAAAATTTATTAATTTAGAAAATTATTAGATAATTGATAAATTAATAAATTATTAATTTAAAGAATTTCTAATGAGAAAAAAAAGACCGCCACTAAACTACTTAATTTGCAATTGTCCTTACATCTAAATCAATCAAGTATAAAACTTTTTTGAACATTAAAAATTTATACATATTTTATATCATCTGAATTAAAAAAAATAAAAGTATCAATAGTTCGTGTTTTACTAAATATTTATAGTTGTTATTATTATTTCTTTCCTCTTACAATATTTATTAATTTATTATGATATTGGTGGAACCTATCGATGTATAGTATTTTTTCTGAAACAATATTATATTATAATTTTATCAATTTTTTTTCACTTGTATAGTGGTCTCAAATTAAGATTGGAGAAAATTATTAATTATAGAGATTATTAATTTATAGATTATTAATTACCAACGTTCTATTATATTTACTGTAGGAGATTAAATGTGCTTCTTCTTATCCTATCTACACTAATTACAACTAATTTGCAGAATTAGATTCAACATCAATCATCATTATCTTCTCATGAGCTTAACATTAAACAGCGATTCCGATTTGGTAGTGGTCTGAATCAACTCCTTTTGTCAATCACAGTTGGGCTATTCCCAACAATTGTAATAAATTTACATTCATAAAAAAACTATAAAATCAAAATCACAATGATAAAAGTTTTGAGTAAATTAATCTTCAAATGTAATCCCTCCATGTTCATATACAACGACAATATTGGGAAAATATGTCATACGCAACTTTTATTGTGTCACTTTCCTTACCGATCAACATTAATCAAAGCCCACTTTTGGTATTCCTAGTTTTGTTACAGCATCTATATTAATCATAGCCATATCATTAACAATCAGCGTCGTTGACATTATTTAAAACATAAGATGACTCTTTAAATCTTCAAGTCCAACTATATTTTCCGAACAACCAATATGTGAAGAAAGAGGTTGATTAGGGACGCTTTCAAGTGTCCTGATAACCTATATATAAGGACGCATAAGCTTTTGAGATACAAGTGAATGCGTCCCTTAGCTCAATATCTTATTAGCTCTTTGGGACACAAACAACCATCCCATTAAAATTAAGTGTCCCATTAAAGTGTTCCCAATTGGGACTCCTTGAAGCATCCTAAAAATCTTTTTTCAATTGGGACACTTTGAATCATCCTAACAGAGTTTTTCCAATTGGGACACCTCGAGGCATCCTAACAGTTCTTATAAGACAAGACGCTTTAATATGTCCCAATAGTTCTGAATTTTTATTTTTTTAAAAAAATCTATTCTTGATCAAGTTTCAACGAAATAAAATAACACAAAAAATTCTAATAAAAAGAATATATATATATAGACCTGAAAATGTCAAGCCTATCTCTTACATAGCTGATAAAAGTTATATACAAATATCGTAACTTACAAACATAAAATTCAAATTTGTTTCTAGGAAGCTAGCTAGCTATAGTACTTAGTTGAGTTGCAAATTTATGTGCAAATTTCTGATCAAAAAAATATGAAAGAGTAATTCCTGATCGCGAATACTTCAAGTGGAAAGAAAGAGTTGTTCACCAGAAGTGACTCTTGAGCATCATCCATAATCATCTAAATTTGACACCAAAAAGAGAGAAACGCAAGTCAAAAATAGTTGATAGACTCACCATTCACTGAACTACAATAGAAGATCAATACAATTCAATTCATAGTAGACAAACTAATGACAAGAGATTACAATCAAAAGTTAACCTACATAAAACATGATTTAATTGAGATCATAACTACCGCACTGGAAATTGATCTTTTCATGTGCCTCGAGAGTAAATTTGCAAAAACACATTACACAAAAGAGGACCCATAGATCGAAATGCAAAATCTATTGTACTAGAAATTTTTTGACGTTGAAAGGCTAAAATATGCTGCAAAGCATTAAAAAAAACAAAGAGAAGTTAAAGTTTATTCAATCTTCAATGAACCATGACTCATGTATATAGTAATTCGCTACTGCATATGAATATAGTAATTCGCTATAGTAATTCGCCAGAATAACGCCTACCATTCATCACAAAATTTATAAAACTGAGCAGTTGTCCTTGCAAAGTATCATGTCCATTCAAAGAAATTCCTCATCAATCATTTCACGACGGATCAAATTCTCAAGGGAAACTAAAAAAAAGTCAAACAGCTAAAGGATGGCCAAGACATTACTTCCAAAATCAAACCCAATGAATTCACTGCAGCTCCTGTAAAATTAGGTAATGCATGATTATCTATCTTCTCAACATTCTCTTCACCAAAGTTGAAGGAAACAAATTAAAAGCGAGAAAAGCAACTTTCACATTAGAGTCAAAATTAAGTAATAATTATCACTATTTCCAGCAAAAGTTACAATCCTTACATAGACAAATATCCAAATCGGAACTAATGAAAAACCTAAGTATACAGACTTCAATTCATAAATTCAAACGTGAACTTTTCAAAAGACTTCAAGGGAATTAACAAACTCATCTCAAATATACGCCTACCTTTTAAATTTGAATTGTTTGGGGCTCCAAGTCACAGCTTTTTCTTCATAAAAACACAAGCCAAATCAGAGAACCAAAGAATAGGGCTTGCACTTCGCATTCAACTGTCAAGAACACTAAAGTCAATTTGGTACATTGCATCATAACCTGTTAACAATTTGCAGCAAAGTATTCATGGATGTTTGGGTCTCCAAGTCACGGCTTTTTCTTCATAAAAACACAAGCCAAATCAGAGAACCATAGAATAAGGCTTGCACTTCGCATTCAACTATCAAGAACACTAAAGTCAATTTGGTACATTGCATCATAACCTCTTAACAATTTTCTTCCCGATATTCACCGCTATGAGCAAGCATTCTCGAGAACAACGCTGGCTGCCTTGCACAATTCCTACCCCATACTCTGTTGGAAACTTCATGACCAAGTGGTAGGGTGACCAAACAGCGTAGGCTTGACACATCCATGGCCATCCTAGGATCACATTAAATGGCGAGGGTGCATCGATTATGGCAAAATCTATTGTTAGAGTTACCATTCGAAGGTGCGACCCTACTGTGATAGGAAGCGTGACAATCCCGCTAGGGATTATCGTGTGCCCTGAAAAGCCCATTAGCGGTAATGTTGTAGGGCGCCAATCTGGATTTTTTTACGTTTATCTTCTTGAAACACTCACTGTATATTATATCCACCGCATTTCTGTTGTCAACCTATACTCGGTTTAGTTTGACATTTCCTATGATGGCCTTGATAACCATTGCATCACTGTGTCGACAGATGTCCGGGACAACATCACTATCCGTAAAGACTATTGCCTCCGTCCCTTTGAACCGTTTGTGACTTGGTTCTTGAGGTGGTGTCTTAGTTACTTCTCAAAGCGATGCTTTCATTGCTGTTGTGGACAAGACCTCAAGGGACGAGTCGTAGATAGCTCCTACGTTGGGAGTGATCTGCTTGGTTAGATCTGGAGGAGGAACTTGCTGAATCGGCTGTGGCCCTCCGTCCAGAGATTGCTGGGCAGGCTGCTGTGAGAGATTTCTTTGTTGCCAATTGTTTCCTTGATTATCTCCTCGAGGGCCACGGTTATTATTCCATTTAGGGAAAATTACGGGGTGCCACAAACTCCCCCTCCTTTTCTCGAGGAGTACCTTATGTGTTTTGTACATACTGCTGAAACTTTCCCGATTTGATTCCGGCTTCAATTTCCCCCTCGAGTTCCCTGCAATCTTCCGTATCATGTTCATGGTCTTTATGGTATTCACAGTACGGACTCGTGGACCTATTTGGGTTATGAGCTAATGGTTTTGGAATGGGAAACTAGTCCTTGTGAATCTGAAGTATTTCTCGTCGAGGCTTCAACAACGGGGTTAAGGTCCTCTCGAGCCTAGGTAAGGGCAGTTTATTCTTCGTTGTCGACTTATACCTGTCCATTCTCCCTCAATCTCCTGAAAGCGAGAAGGATTCCTGCGATCGCTTGAGTGTCTGTTCACGCTGGATATAACTTTTCACTGTGGCCCACATCTCCTGTGTGTTTCGAGGAGGTTTAATGGTCAACTTTACTCGCAGGTGAGCAGACTTTCCCCAAGGCCTTGGATAAATCCGTTTTGGACATCTCTGTCATCAAGGTAATCTACTTGTAGAGATTCTGGAGAAAAACGGCGATGGAAATCTGAGAGACTCTCGTTTTGTCCTTGCTTGATCGACGCCAGGTAAATTGACATTTTTGTAATTTGCTTGCTAGGGAAGAATCGTGTGGCTAGTTTTACTGACAAGTCCTCGAAACTGTCAATGCTTCCTTCCGGTAACTGTCCAAACCAATGTTGTGCTTGTCCATCGAGGAAGGATGGTAGGACTTTGTCCATGAAGTCGAGAGACGCGTTCCAATTCTCATGACCTGCACATAATTGTGCAAAAATCACTGTGGATCAATGTCTCCCGAGTAGTTGACGAAGTCTTTTGGAAAGTCAAAGTCTCGAGGTTTCGAACAGTCTCGAATCCGTGGAACAAAAGGACTCTTATCCACGACCATTCCTATCATTTTTCTCATCGAGTTGCGGATGGACGGGTCTTTGTAGCCTTGGTTCTCTCGTTGTCGAGCAAATTGGGGCTCTTCAAGATATGAAACGTCGTACCTCTGATGACCATAAGGTAGGTATCTTGAGTTATTGTGAGTATCACGGTGATCGTGATAAGACTTCTCCAGAGTTGCTTTAGGTCCCAGTTGAGAGTGAATATTACCTCTTGGAAGGGAGTCCCGATTCCTTCTCGACAACTCCTCAACACTCGGTGATCGTGAGCTAGGCTGGCGGTGAGACTGTTTTTTCTGTTCATGTTCTTTTGCAAATTGCTAAATTGTCGCATAAACAGCCAGATTTGTTCGCTCGAGAGCGTCGCAGAAGGTATTACCAGGGGTTTTGGAGAGCTCGACGCGAGAAGTTTCCCGATTGCGGGCTTCCTTGTGAAATTCTTCTCCCCCTTCACCCGGGACTTTGCGTTTTCCTCATCTCACCTCGAAGAGGGCTAACGTCCATTTTGCCTCCTCCTCCTCAACCAAATCTTCTAGCTCTTAATCCGTGGGATCGGGGAAGCCAAGCAAACACAACGTTGGTATTCCTCTAATATATATTTCATTTTCCTCTGGTTAAATGATTTGTTGTCTTTCAAATTCTTCAATTTCGTTTTGATCTCGGCCAGTCGCTGTTTTTTTTATGGATTAGGAACTTTGCGATGGGTTTCTGGATCTCCCTCCCCCTCACTTCCATGACTAGTTGGCTTTGTGAGGGTTTTCTTTCTTTTTGACTGCCGGTCGTTTCTCTTCCGCTTCTGCCTCTCCTAGAATCTCGCTAGGGTTTCATCATCGTTGGGACTTTCACGCCTACCAGTTGATGCGGTACTGGATTGAGGATTGTCGATTATAGCCATCCTGTCTTGGAAAAACTCTAGCTTGGAGTGGTGGGAGTGGATCAAAAAGGTTCTGAAAGCTTGGGAAAGCTTTGTGACACAAACCCTAATTTTTGTGTCCCACTGGGTGTGCCACTTGACGATGCATGGAATTGCGCCTCCGGCTAGGTGGTGGAACTCCGATTAGGGTTTCCTGTAAAACAAAGCCTCGGGGCCTCCCGAGGGTAGACACTCCGAAGCTTAAGTTAGCAAATAGGGTTACGAAATAATGTGTATATGTGAATTAGTGCTAGAGATAGGGTACCTCAATAGTGGTGTAATCATCCCTATTTATAGGCCTTAAAAGTATCCGAATATTACTAGATTTAGTAATATTAAACCATCTTTTCACAGTCGGTTGGACTTACGGGCGGGACAACTGGCCGATCCATGTCCAGTGGTGGATATGGACTCGTCACCAGAAATCATCTTCATTATCATAAAATGAAAATCAGAAACGAAGAAGAAGGAATCAGAGACAAGAACCCTAATTTGAATATGTTGAAATGGAAAAGGGGACAACTGAATTGGGAGCTTTCTTTCTTCTGTATTTCTTTCATTAATTAATTTGTACAACTAACCTTCTCTTTATATACAAAAAATCATAGTCCGTGTATTATTTACATTACAGCCTACTTCCTATTAGTATGTACAGTCATCATGCGTCTGTGATAATCAGTAACTCTAACAACTCCCATGTGTGGTCAGCAAGTCATGATCAGCTGCCAACAAGTTGCTGCAACTGCCGTGATGCTTCTGGATCCTTCATAGTTTCTGTTGGATCAGCTTCTATGCGTGCATGTGAATGAAGTTCCTGTGCAGCCAATGCTGATGTGGCTGAATACTTCAACATTACTAGGTCTAGCTCAATATTCTGTCTGACCAAAATGCAGTTTGACATTGAGACGAACCGCGTTATTCCTCCTCAAACTCATCTTAGAGCGACGTGGTTTTAAAAGGCGCGTTTTAAGCCGGATTTGTGATCACCTCCAATCTAGATGGCACGAAAAATAGTATTTCAAAAAGAAACAAAAAAAATTGAACCCAGGAAATGTATTTATCTTTGCACACATTCGAGGAATGTGGAAAATACGACGGCCATAGGATTTTAAAGGGTTTGTATCATATAGTTAGCTTTGATTTCTTCCGAAATTCTAATTAAATGTTTTCAATAAAAAGAAGATGAGAATTGAATATCTTTAATCACGGAAGTGAAACTAATTAACCATGCATAGTTATACGAAGAATGCATTTACAAAATTCTAATTTATGATACGTATGTGTTTGCGTTTCGAACTATATGATACGTTTGTTCATATAGGACAATAAAACTTAAAAGAAGAGGCTTTGTTTTACTCCCTCCGTTCCATAATTATTATCCAGTTTTACTAAAATGAAATATTTTATTTTTGGTCAAACTTAATTATATTTTACCTTAAACAACCAGATATACCCCTACATAAGTAATTGTTTAACCATTAAGATTTTATAAATAATGTTTTTTACTAAGGAAAAATGTATAACTCGATCCATAAAAAGTCAAATTAGACAATATTTCTTTTAAATTTACATGTGCTTTTGACCATTACCTCCCATAAGGGTCATTCTAATAATTATGGGACGGAGGGAGTAATGAATTTTCACCATTACCTCCCTCTGGTGAGTTTCATGAGGGTCTCCTTTATTTTATCAACATTTCCTCGGTGTACGCATAATCAACATCTAGCGTTCTTCCGGATTCAAGCACATAAAGGCAATAGTGGAATCAACTCAATTATATTCAAAACTATCGTGGCATTGAACTCACCAATTCGAGAATCACCAGATCTATATATGTTTATTTTTCATGAATAAAGAGCTAAAAGATCAGTGCGAAGAATGTGGCTTAAGTCTTAATTTTGCGAGTAGATAATAGATACCACTTTTTTTTAATTATCTACTGATCATTGACATTTTTTAAATAGTATAATTAAAATGCTCAAAAGCAAAAGATAATTTAAGTAGTAGTTAAAATGGTCAAAAGCAAAAGATAAAAATTGGAATGACCCTTTAATTTGCATGTGAATTAATAGAGCTCAAAAATTAGCTAGTAACTAACATGTGAGTACGTCGTATGTGATGAAAGGGATGAAAGGAGCATAGAACACGTTAACATAATTTATGGGATTTGATTATTTATAATTAATTTTATTTGATTCAGTATTTTAATTTTGTTGATTTGATAGTTTATTAAGGATAGGAGCCTATTTTCTGTTTTAAAGAGACATTAGTGTAGACCGAAATAAACACACAAGTTTCCTTAAATCCGTTGATTCATTTCCAAATATGTCTGATTCGGTTTCTTTCAATATAAGATGAAAATAATTACCAAATGATCAGTTCGAGTTTTTTTTTCCCTCCTCTCTCTTTCAATGTGTCTGATTAGGTTAATTCCACCCCCCAACACCCAATACCAGAGATAAAAATGAAACTTCTTTGGAAAAAAGGTAAAACACTAATGTCATTTTGTTTGTAAATAATTCAAATTTTGTCAAGATTTTTTTTTTTTGGGTGTACATTTTCCTACAATCATGAAAAGATTTGTAGTTAATTTCACGTAATCCAGTTACATGTATATATCGAGCATACTTGGGGAACGTTTTTCTTAGAACACATTGCGCTCAGAGTTGTCCCAATATATTAAAGTGGTGGAAAAATGGCTCCTACTTGTGCAACTCATGTATTCAAGCTAATTGTTTCTTTCATGGCCTTATCTTCATTTTCCCATGCCTATGATCATGACCCTTTACAGGATTTCTGTGTTGCTGTGCCCGATGCTTCCGCAGCCGGTAAGTACACTTACATCCCTCCAATCCTATAGAAACTTTTTCTAAGCATAGTCTTTTTAGATGAGTATTGACTGGATATGCATTGAATCCTAACATACTTCGTTTTTATTTTTTCCGTTTCTAGAAACTGTGATTAGTGATTATATCTCTCAAAATTATTTCTCAATAGGAGATGTTTTGAGTGTAAAAATCACGTCTCTAATTGATTGGATTAGCTGGCCTTTTCTAACTTATTTTGATTCAGTTTTTGTGAACGGGAAGATTTGTAAGAGCCCAAAGTTGGTCACTCCAGATGATTTTCATGCAACGGGATTAAATGTTCCTTCAAATACCAACAATTCATTAGGAGTTGGGTTAAATGTGGTCAGCGTGAACCGGGTTCCCGGCCTCAACACTCTTGGTTTGACTGTAGTTCGGGTTGACTTTGCACCCAACGGTGTCGTCCCTCCTCACGTTCATCCTCGAGCAACAGAGGTACTTGTCGTTTTAGAGGGTACGCTCTATGTTGGCTTTGTCACGTCAAACCCAAGCGATGGCACGAAAAATAGGCTATTTTCAAAAACCTTGAATGCCGGGGATGTTTATGCCTTCCCACCCGGCCTTGTGCATTTTCAAAGGAATGTGGGAAACACCACAGCCTTGGGCATTGTATCGTTCAATAGTCAAAATCCTGGAATTGCTACGAGTGCTAATTCAATTTTCGGGTCTGATCCTCCTATTTCTTCCGAAGTTCTCACTAAATCATTTCAGTTAGACAAAAAGACAGTTGATTACCTCCAGTCACGTCACTGGATCTAGTATGGAGAGAAAATGTATTTTTATCAACTTGTTGAATCATAATACCAATTGTTATATCAAATATCTCTATTCAATGATACATCTACTATATTGTAATTTTATTGTAAGTGATGGCATTCATTTATAAACATAACCCATTATAAAATTACGAATTGTTGTAAACAGCATCATCAAAATACATTCAATAATTTTCTAAAAAATTTAAAATAAAAAATAGTGAAGGATTCTTGAATCTTGCTTATTGGTGTTCAAAGTTGATAGAAAAAAAGAATATACATATGCCGGCCTTACGAACATATAGTCAAAAAGGAGGGGAAGTTCTATTTTTCTTTTGTTGCATGAATAATGAATCATTACTATCTCTGCCTAAGATAAGAGTCCTTTTAATACTTCTTTTTTGTGCTAAGGACGGAGAGAGTATTTTTTAATTAATAAAATTACGTAAAATATATATAAGTACCTAAATTTTTCTTTGACAATATTTATGACTTCAAATGAAGTAGCAAGCATGCATGCCTACTTCAGATCCTTATGTTACTACATGGAGATTGATCATATCCTTATTTACGCTAGCCATGTACTCCGTATTAATTATAATCTCTTGCTTAAACCCCAAGAGATTGCAACAAAAATTTGGGATGCCAACTAAACCTATTCTCTACTCCTTAATTTTATCCTGTTTTAATAGTCTATTAAGTTTTACTGAGATGAAGTTTCATAGATAAATCGGGAATGCAATGTTTTAGCAGTTCAGTGAGCATCCTCATTCCTCAGAGCTGGTTTCATCGAGTAAGATCATAACATGTCCCCAGTTTTTGCAACAGCTTCATATGATTGTGTTTTCAACAGAAATTATGAAAATTTTAGAAGATCCACTCTTTTTAGCTTCCTCTTTTCAGTCTTTTCAATACGTTTGATGGTGAATTCTTGCCCAATTGTGTTACAAGGAACATATATATGTCACCTTCGTTTTGCTTTTATAAGTTATCTATATCTGTGGAACTATGTTTTCTCTAGTCAAATTTATCAGTTTTCTCCTTTCATTTTCATTTTTTTTTCAATCTTTCAATTAAAAGCCAACTCCTTGGAATTATAAAATCTTATTTTAAGTTTTTCATTTTTCCTTTTCCTATAAATTTCATCCCTGACTAGTTTTTCACTTTTTCATTTTTATAATTTATTGTAAAATTCATTTTTGCAACTGGATATGCACCTTCCAACTCCTTGGAATATAACAGTCACTAAAGTCATTATCTACCATGTAATTTGAGGTCGAGAGGGTTTTTCAACATTTATTGCCTTTCTTTCCGGCACGGCAATTATTTCCTTGTTCCGGCAAGTAACCCATATTCCCATTAAACAAGAACATCCAAAATACTTTAGCAATTTTACAATAATATGTAATACTATTCTCAAAATCATTTATCGATTCTATCAAAAGATCAATATGAGATTCGGAAATTTAATATTTTTTTTTTTTTTTTTTGAAATAAGAAATTTAATTTCTTGATTTCAAGATTATCTAGTGACTCTTAACAATAGATTGTGAGATGTTGAGATTCTGATACAAATTAGCATTATTTAGCTCAAAATAACAACAGAAAAAAACTGGTTTAAAATTGTCATTTGCAAAACTTCTTTAACCACAAACCCTAATTGAAGTCTATAGATTTTATAAGCAGAGCGCCATGAAAACTTAAAAGATTTATTAGAGCAAGGCGAGTCATTCTAGGCTGACCCAAATCATCACTTTATTCACTTAATAATTCTAAAAATATTTCTTTCTCTTGATGTAAATGAGTCTGTATAAAACGAAACTCCTAACTTCGTTAATCACCTTGTATGGACGAGTTCCAGTAATTCATTGATAAAAACTACCTTTCTCTTCAAAGAAAAAATGAGCTCCTTTCAGGTATTTTGTTCATGGAGCCATAATATATCCAGTTTAAGTATGCTCAGCTGTTGCGGAATTGTGGAGTGCGGTATAAGACTATATAACAATATAAAAAGCTCATTAGAATGATATTTCTCATTTTTTTCGGCTCATTTCAATAAAGGTATACATGTATTTTTTGGGAGGGGATATTGTTACTCAAACTAATGATCATGACTTACTATGTTGTTTTCATTCTGACCCTCCATGTATACATATCCCATATATAATACTCCCTCCGTCCCATAAAAATAATCCAAATTGAGTTTTGAGTTTTGTATTGTTTTTAGTACAAATTTGAAAACTCAATGTGAACTATTTTTGTGGGACGGAAGTAGTATCTTATTATACATATATATAATGATTAGTTGCGTATTATTCTTAAGATTTCACATTACAGAGTGCAAATTCGAAAGAACTACAAAGAAACTTTAAAGGACACAAATCTTACGAAACTAAGCTTACGTTATTCTTTTCCAGGCTGCTACTTTTATGATCTTCGTGATACTAGGAAAAACAAATACGCAATCGTTATAATTTATCGATGCTTTTGGATTGTTAGCTATAAATTTAAGACATTAGACTTCAGAAACTAATTAGTACCATATTTTCAACATCATAGAATCTATATCCAAACCTATTACTAAATCAAGATCAAGATCTCAAAGCGGGTGCTTCTTTTGCGAACTGGAAAATGTGCTTTTGGATCAATCAAAGAACGAGCCCTGGCAACTTCCTTGTAGAGTATATTTTAAGCTTTAGCATATTCTAGTGGTTTATGAAAGTCTGTAACTAAAGCTAAATGTTTATGCTCCGTTCATCCAGTTATAGTTGATTGGTTTGTCTCCCAGAGTTGTTAATTCTCCCGGAATTATATTTATTCGCCGTCAGAAATCTAACCGTTACTGAACCACGAGAGAAAGTCAGGGTTTTCCACTCTTATACTGTAATTTACTACTCATTAAGCTTCACACTTTGGCACGCGCATTGATGTACCCAAAAAAAAAAAAAGGTGTAAAGTTAGAGTACTTTACAAGCAACTTGGTGGTATTTAAACCTCTATTTCTAGGGGAAAAAGAAAACAAAGAAAAAAAACAACCAAACTATTTTATTTACTAAATAAAACTGATCACTTACCAGAAGACATTCTACAAAACTATTCCCTATGTTCTAAAGTGCAAATTAAATAATCATTTCTAAACCAAAATTGTAAGAAAATATTAAAATCTTGCAAATTGTATCAGTTAGACCTCCCAGACCCCAACCGAGTTGGGAATATACTGGGTATGTTGTTATTGTTGTATCAGCTAGAACGATTTCATCGATGACAATCATTAACAACGTGAATAATAATAGTTGGACTATATATCTTACTATATTATAAACAAAAATCATACTTAAGAGAAAACACCACTATTTGTCATGTGGCATTTCCACATCATATTTTTAAAATACATTTTTATTTACACATCTCCTAGACTTAAAAGGCAAATGCAGTCCAAATCCACCTCCACCTCCTATTTTCGCCAAAAAAACAACTCCGGGTTCATAAAAAACCCAAATCCCCATCCCCATCTCCACGACAATCGACTCCCTAATCAATATCTTCTCCACAGTAAAAAAAAAAACAAATTCCTCATCAATTATCAATTGAGAATATGTGGTGAAATATATTCCTCTCCTATTAACATGTTCAATCTTTTCATTAGTGATGATCAACTACATCCTAATCGGATAAAATTTCGACTTTAAAAATTATTCTCTTTACCTCTCTATATAAACACAAAGGAAAAAAAAAAAGATTCTCATTGATCTTGCTTCGGCCTTTGTGCTGGTGCCATTACAGGTATTAAAATTTAAATGATTTTATTTCCACAGATCATTTGTTTGACTTTTATTATTTTTTTTTGTTTTCTCTGTTCAAGAATAGTGTTATTACTATTATTTTTATGTGTCCATCCGTTACAGCTACCGTAGCCGTTGTCAGGTAATATGATGTGATCTCTTATATGGTTAATTAGCCTAGAATTTTTGCATGATTTTAGTTCTGTTTGGATTGAATTAATTAATTGGATTTTTGTTACAAAGTGTGATTTTTAAAATTTTTTTTTTTATGTTTCATTCAATTAGAGTGATTTTCTTTTTTTAATTATGGAGTCTCGGGTTTTTTTTTGTATATGGTCAGTTATGAAGTGTGTTTTTTCTTTGTTTAATTGCTTTTGATTTTGTTTCATACTCCCAGTTGACCAATTATTATTATTATTATTTTATTTTATTTACAAATGAAGTGCGTTTTTTTTTTTTTTGTGTTCGAGCTTTCAAAAATATACTTTTTTGGATTTGGCTTTTAGACTTTTTTTAGTTCTTCATCATATAAATAGTTCAGGCCGCTTCTTCTAACTAATTTATGAGGAAGCCTTTTATGAATTTGAGGTGGAGAGGGAAAAAATGATGTTTCTACGTTTATTTGTGTTTTTATACATCATTTTTACCTACAGAAAAAAAAGTAAATTTCTCAATTTTTAATGTGCTATCTTTTACTTTTGTTTTTTTTTTTATTTGTCATGGTGAGGTGAGCTCTTTTTTGCTATAACTTGAAACCTATGCAAATTTATATTATTTTCATTTGATATTTGTGACAACCAGTTTCAACAACTAACCAGTTTCAAAATCATATTTTTGATATTTTACTACCTATAAATTTTTGGAAGAAATAGTTCCAACAATTAAGCGTATACCCTTTGGAGAAAGCTTACTAGAAAGCTATTATAAATCTCCAAAACTAAGTATTGATTTGGCACAGCCAACGGAGAACATCAATAAATTATCTTACTAATATTTAAACTTATTAGGATGTTTTTATATTTTGTCTAGCATTTACTTGAAGATATATGTTTGATCAAGTTTATTTATATTTAAGTAGTAACACTTATAAAATATTTCTAAAATCTTGAAACATTTCTAAAATGTACTGGGCCAAATACAATTTCTTTTAATGCCAAATACAAACATTTCTGTGATCACACTTATGAAACATTTCTAAAATATATGAGTTCAAATACAAAATATTTTTTTT